CCACGGCTTCAATGCCGCAGGGTGCATGCTGTTTCCCCGGGGGCGCCTTGCGTATGGGAACAAACTAACATTCCTTAAAGAAAAAAAAAGAAAGGACTCGGGGAAAAAAAAAAAAAAAGCGCTTGTATCCCCCAATCTCTGTGGAATTGGGGGGTTCCGCGCCAGGGTTGCTCCGCCTGCGCGCTCAGAGCCGGGTGGCTCCGCGGGGGCCTGTGCCCAGCGGCGGCCCCGGGCGGCGTCGTGGGCTGAGCTGGCCCCGCGGAAAGACCCGGAGCAAAGACGCGGAGAGCCCGACAAATCCGGGGACCCCCACACCGCCTCAAACTGCCCTCCTCCCCCTCCTGGCCCCTTCCCATCTCAGGTAAAACTTTACCGTGGCGAACATCCTTTTAGATTTGTGGGATAGGTTGTGGGGGTTTTCTGCGTGTTTGTTTGGTTGTTGAGTTTGGTTGGGTTTTCTTTTTCTAATTTTTTTTTTGGGGGGGGAAGAGGAAAGTGTGACTTGGTGTTTATGAGAAGCTTTATGACTCCTGATAAGCTCATCTTTGAGGACGACACAGAACTGTGTTCCTTGAGGAATTGGGGTGGTGACGTCTTTTCTGATACCCGATTATTACGTGACTGAGGAAAAAAAAAAGGCATTTGATTCATGAATAAAAATCCGGACACCACCACGGGGGCAACAAACAATATTGCCCGTCCTCTAAGGCAACAAGCAGGCAAATGTTTACGAAGAGGGCTCTTGCTGAAGCGGGGTGTTTGCAAAGATTTTCTTGCTAATTGCGTATCAGACGGAAGGCTGCGGAAGGCTGGTCAAGTTTGGAGCCACCGTGCAGGAAGAGAAGAAGAAGAGAAGGCTGAAGGCAGGCGCTCAGTGAGGGCAGAGATCTGGGGAAGACAACATCGCACGCAGCCAGCCCGCGGCTCCCGCCTCCGCTCCCTCCCGGGCTCGCTTGCTCTCTTCCCTCTTCTGCGCTCCTTTCTCAGGCGACATATCGCTCCATCCCTCTTTCTCCCTTCCCTTGTAGACCCCACTCCAGATCTGTGCTGCTACCTGCAAACTTTTTTCCCTTTATCTTTTTTCGCCCCTTCCTCTTTCTGTTTTTCTTTTTGGAGTGAATTGCCCTAAAACCAGCAAACAACTAACTGCTGCCGCTTTTGCGTCTTCTGCATCTTGCGCGTTCTTCACCCATCGAAGAGGCAATGCCACGAGGGTTTTAACTCCTTTCGGACGCCACTTGGGAGAGAGCTCGATTTCTCCCCCTCCCTATTTTGGGTCTTTTTTTTTTTTTTTTTTT